GTTTTCTGGATTTTTTTGTAGCTTTATTTAAGAACAAGTGCACTAATATACGAAAAAAGTCGTTTATTTGTTCGACAGTTAAAAACCATAACTTGGAAAAAAAAACGTATCTCAATGTTTATGACTTGTTTCCGAGTTTTTTATTCTTCGTCGCAAAATACAGACCTGCATTTTTTCACGTTGCTATTATAAATGATGTCCTAAGAGGAAATACATGTGAAGGATTCTTACTCGATTCGTGAATGCATCCGGAATTTTCACTCGTCTTCGGAAGTCCATTTGATTTGTTAAAGTCGAATGAAACCGGGACCGCTGTTTTCAAATAGACAAAAAATGTTATTTACATTTTGTAAAAGGTACAGGTCGTGAGCTTTGTTAGTTAATAATAATAACAGATAATTAAAACTACCAAGTTGTTAAAGTTTAACTACAGACAACACTGATATACTGCAACTACATATGTATTCAAAGGCAATGCAAATTAAACACATGCTTGCAGTAAAACAGGAAATCCTCTAAGAGCACCGACCGGATGATTTTATATAACACGTGGTTACAGCCCACACGTGTGATTTTATCTGTACACAGTCCAATAAACCACGTATTTGTAAAGAAATCATAATGAAATGAGTTAAATATAAAACGATCTCGCCGTATAATATAATTATTCATTTTTTTAAAATCGTATTCAGTGTAAGAATGCAGATCGTCCACTTTCTAAATACAATTCTAAATAAGATCTACTGCGCTGTATTATGAAGTAGCTATTTACGTGATTGCCTATGATGAAATATTGTATTCTACCTGAATATTTTATTCCTCGCTTGTCTTCCATTTATAGTTTATTTACTCCTTTTTAATTTTGAGACTAGAACAATATATACACATCGCCGCAGGTAATTGTGCCAGGTCTACGGGATAATCTACCGTGTGACTCGTAGGTTCCGCCTTCCTCTGCTCTGATAGGCGTAACTGAAAAAGCCGGCGGGCTTTATCCTCCGTTGATTGGTTCAATTACGTGTCACTCGAGAATTGGCGCAGTTCTCGTGGTACCGGGAGTTTGCGGCTGCAACCAAGCTCTACCGTGGTGCTGAAGTGACAACTCCTTTCTCTGGTGCTAGGGGTGCACGAGTATAACTAGTTAGTGTATCTTTTGTAGTTCAGTGTTGATTTTTTTTGTATGTGTACTGTACACGTCATCATCAAAAAAAGAAAAGGATACAGACTGGCGGAAAGGAAACAGCCTAAAGTACTCTCCGTTGCACAGGATTTAACTTTAATACGCTTGGTATATATTTTTTTCCTTGGGTAAACTTGTTTCTTAATTGAATCGTCATGTTTAATAGTGTGCAAGTGCACGGAAGTATGCTTGAATTAAAGAAGCCGTGCTTAGATTTAGAAGAAGGATGATGTGATATCTGCAGTAAAGACATTTGAGCGAATATGCTGGAAGCAGTGTCACTGCACACACAAAAAAAACTGGCGGATGGCATGATTCGCCCCAATAGACGCACATAATTTCAGATATTTCACCATTTAATACAAATCTATCAGTTTATATTCCATTATTAGATTTTACCACACGTGGATACCGAACGAAAACTGGGGGTGCTCGGTTATTGCTTTGTCATTATGCGGGATCTTATGGGTGTTTTGAAATCGCTGATTTAAAGGGATGTTGTAATGGAAGCGATTTGGATTTACCAGTTCAGATTGATCGTAATAGGTGACTCGACGGTGGGAAAATCTTGTTTGCTGCGTCGTTTTACCGAGGGCAAGTTTACCGATGTTTCTGACCCTACGGTAGGAGTCGACTTTTTTGCCCGACTAGTTGAGATTGAACCGGGGAAGCGAATCAAACTACAACTCTGGGATACAGCGGGTCAGGAAAGATTCAGGTAGGAGATCAACCGTGTTCTGTCGCCTCGATGTACATGTAATGCAAGGGAAGTTTTTGTTGTTCATGAGGTGAAATGATTTTTAAAACAGTTGAATCATTTATACCTTGTGCACACCATTACACGTCCTTTTCTTTCTCAACCATTTATTTGTACGATGCAATTCAGGTTCTTCTGTTTATTGTGTATGAAACATTTAAAAAGTCTTACTGCATGGATCCTAGAAACTTTTGATTCACCTAGATTTTTTTGGGAGGGGGGATGCGGATTATGATCATCTGTTAGTTAAAACCGCCTGTAATGACTTGACAAATAATTCGTGTTTGCAATTCATGGCCAACGTATGTTATAAAACGTGCACTCCTAAACAACCAAATCTAATGTAGGCCGCGATAATGATCATGTAGAAATACTCTGCCACAGTTCAAGTAATAGATTACAGTTGGCACAGTCCTCAAAAGGACAATTAGGGATTTAAGGTAAACAAAATGTTATGCATCTTCAATCCAGAGTAGTAGTTTGTATGTACAGTAGGAACAGATTCCGATTGATTAAAGTTACTGTTATTTTTTTTATTATTATTATTGTAGGTCTATAACGCGTTCTTACTATCGCAACTCAGTGGGAGGACTCCTGGTTTTTGACTTGACCAATCGGAGGTCCTTTGAGCACCTGAAGGACTGGTTAGATGAATCCAAGATGTACGTGCAGCCCTTTGAGATCGTGTTTCTTCTGGTGGGGCACAAGTGTGACGCTGGACACCAACGGCAAGTGAGCCGGGAGGAAGCCGAGAGATTTGCGCTGGCTTGCGGGATGAAATACATAGAGACCTCGGCGAAAGACGCCACGAACGTGGAGGAGTCCTTCACCATCCTCACCCGAGACATCTATGAGCGAGTGAAGAGGGGGCACATAAGCATTCAGGAGGACTGGGAAGGTGTCAAAAGCGGTTTCATTCCAAACGTAGTCCACTCCTCCGAGGAAGCTGTAAAACCTGGAAGGAGGTGCCCATGCTAGCAAGTCAGACGTGAATTGTTCTTCAGCCAAAGACCGCAAATGCGACGGCGTGGGGTAGCTTAGTGCGCCCAGAGAAGACTGTGTGATGTCCTGTCAACAAGCTTTTAGATTACGCCATCCCGGTGCAGTCCTCTTGATCTGACCCAAGATGCTGTTCCTGTATTTAATCACTTGACTTGGGTTGTAAAACATTTCATAAACAGTGTAAAGAAATGCTCACCGTTGTGGTTCCCAAACGTTCAGAATCTATTGACTATAATTCCAGAACAAATTCACTTCTTTTAGGCTAGCTGGTTTTGTTTTTCCCATTTATGTGCGTGCATATTTTGTAAATAAACCTGAGGTTTTGGGAAAGAAGCTGCCTGAAAGACCAATATAGTAAAAACAGAGCATTTTTGATTTGTAACTCCAAGGTTGTTTTTTTTATGTACATTTAACAATGCCTTTCTGTGAATGACTGTCTATAGTAATGTGCCTCCCTTCAGCAATAGGTCTTTGAAAGCAAGAAGCATCTGTTGTGATGTCAATTAAAGGGCTAAGAATGTATTTGAACAAAGTCGCTTGTCTAGTACCAAGAGAATATTTAAACAATTTGTGTTAGTGTTCCCCCTTCCCCCTTAATTCAAAGCCATTAGGAAGTCATTTTAAAACCACGAAAAAAAGGTAGAAAATTAAATGTGTGAAAAAATCTGCAATCTCGGATAAATTTGTGTGTAAAAACATTGATCCTTGTGAAACCAATTTTTATATAGGAATTGTCAGTTTCATGTGCATAACTTTAAGAGGATAGAGCTATACTTTTTGGTTTGTGAGAAAAATTGGCAGTAGGAACAAGTAAAGGTTAATTCCATGCTGAAAAAGAAATAAGAACGCCATCTCAGCAGCCTCTTTCAGATGTGGCACTACTTGTCAAGAGCACTTTTTCCTTACTGCCTGCAGCTCACAGCACCACTTGGGTGGCTGCTGCACTACACAATGAGGAAACCTCCCAGCCAGTGTGGATTACACACTGCCCCTTGGGGATTCCTAACCCAAGATGGCTGACAGTATCGCCAGGTTCAGACCAGCAAGATTGGAGCCCAACTCCAATCCACAGGAGTTGCTGTCCAGCAGGTTTTAGAAACTCTCCTTAAAAAAAAAACTCTAAAGATGAAGGAGAGGCTTCAACTTTTCCACTTAAGGAAAACAAGGAGTCCAATTGTTTGAATTTAAGAGCACAGGTGGAAAGAAAACCATAAAGCCTCTTGTCCTCCAAAACTCCAGGTTGTGCATCTCCTGCTCTATTATTTGTACACTCAAGGCACCTAAATGCAGCCTTCGACCAACAGGCTATAGAGTGTATCTATCCCACACCTGAGGATATGTTATTTTAAAGGGAAATGTATTGTTGCGCCAATGTTATATTCAAATAGGTGGAAAAAAGGGAATTGCGTTCAGAATGTCTCTATCCCTTGTAAGTGCGAGATTTAAAGCAGTGCATTTTTGGCTTTGAGGTACGGTTTCACAGACTCCAGAAGCCCTAGTCCTAGTATAACTTAACTTTAGGTAGCCAGAGACTAGAACTAATGAGAAACAGGCCTAAACGTATTTTGTGTTTTAGGACGATGTTCGCCTACAAAGAACAATGTTTCAGATTCTGGGACAGTAAGAATGAAAATGAGAATGTAATTTAAGGGACTTTAATGGCTAATGAGAGTGCAATGATCCCTCAGTGTTGTAGGGACTACACTCTGTGAATGTTGCCTTTTTGTGTCTTCCAAGGCTTGCCAAGAACGTTGCCTTAAGCAGATGGTGTTTTTACTTGCTTGAAAACTTGCATAAAGAAGATATGCATGATTGTGTGTTGTTCACTGATTAGATCAACTTTACATTATTGCTTATACAAATGTGCTTAGATTGAGATCATCATGTGACTGTATTTAATAGATTACACACAACTTTAATATCATTAAAAACTCTAAACCAACAGTAATGTCTAGAGGAAATACTACTGCCTCTGTATTTCACAGACCACTGTTAAATGTGCACTTTTTCTCTTTCATGTAAAACTTTTCCTCATTAGATGGAAGATGCTTTGAATGGAAGCCAATTAAAAAGTTAAACTGCTATACTGTAGTTACTTTGTAATCTATTTGTTTTTTTTCAGTTATTTGAACTACAATGATTGTTGTCCACATTATATTTCGTTCTGCTGAAGTAACATTTCTCTGTCTGTCTGTTCACATTTCTAGTAAAACAGCTATATTTAGTGATAACACTATAGCATCATGCAGCTTGTGATGTGTAAAGGATGTCCTGGAGATTAGAGTTTTCTAAATGGATTTAAAAAATGCTTGCATAATCATGTACATTAAAAATGAACTGCCAGCATTTTATTGGTTTCGATGGATTTTTTAGTTCTTTATAATTTAGGACACTCAGAGACCAAGAATGAATCCACATCACACACGATGTAACACGTTATTCCAAATTCTAGGTATTAATATCTGACCTTAACGTTTTGTTTAAAAAATGGATTATTAATTCCTATGAACACTTAAAGTAGATTTATATCTGGGATATGCTGATCAATAGCTTACACAATATAATACTTTACCATGGTGCAATATGCTTGCAATTTGATGTGGTTGTGTAAAACAGGTTTCTGCAATATTTATTTTGTTTGCCCTACAACATATTATTTTAAAAAAGCATATACTGTAGTGTCCCCTAGTATGGGTACCATGTAATACCAAGTGAGAAGAGACATATAAATTATTCAGCGCTAACCAGAGATACAGAATCTCGTGAGACTCTTAAACATGAATTTGAAAATAGATATTGAAGGTGTCTATAAAGTAAGATTAACAACTATGTCTCAAAACCATTTACCTACAGAATAAAGGCTAATTAATCATTATATTTTAAAGTCCAGTAATCATTACTGCATAACTGAAATATTAATTAGGTGTGGAAGTATGTCAAGTATAATAATAAAAGTGGGTATGAGATCAATACTTAATTCAACTTTAGGTTTTATAAATTACTTAGAATTGTTTTACATTTTCTATAAAAGGCGCAAAGTGTAAAAATTGTTCACCTGAAAATGAAATAATTGAAAAGCAAACTTACCGCAGAAGCTTGCTTCTTTTAAGAGCCATTTTCTCTACAGAGTGTATTGTTGGACTGAAAAGGTTTATCGGTAAGGAAAAACTTCGGAACACTTTTTGTTTTTGTCTTCCGCATGATCCTTAATAGTTTGTGTACTTTGGGAAACTGTTTTGTTCACAGCAGGATTTGAAGGAAGAGGAGGATCTAAAAAAAAAAACTTGGCCCTCACTGCGGTAAAAAATGAACAGTTCCTAGAATTGAGGACTGCTGCGGCAGGTAAAAAAAAATGCAACGTCATAAAAAAAGTGTGTACACAGTAACTAAGTTAAAAAAAACGGAAGATAAATTCATTGTTGAAAAAAACTTTAAAGACATCTTTTAGCAATAACCCTGTTTCTTGGATACCGGCACACCATTTAATACAACAGTGCCACCTAGTGGACAACATCAAATAACAATTTGTGCAATCTGGTATTTTCATAATCATGTGAAGTTAAACTTGGGAAAAAAAAACGTCTCCCCATTTCGGTTCTTGTCACTGATGACTTCATCTTAGCAAAATTTGCGTGTACGAGCTAATGCACAAAAGTGTGAGGAACAACCAAAACATGTTTTTGTAGCTGCAATTCGTCTACACAAGTCACAGGTTCCTCGACCACCTTGTTATTGGATCAGTAGCACTTCTGCATGCCTCTCTGTTCACACCATTTATAGGTTTTATGGGTCTGTTTGAAATTGTATAATTTCTGCGCCTGCAATACACAAGCCCGGCTCTGGATAATATAGTCATTGCAGTTAATGGACACAGCTCCAACTCGGAATCTTTCTTACGCTGTTTTTTTTCTCTTGAACTGTCTATTCTGTACTGTTTCCCGGTCATGTGATATACCCTTGTATGGATCGACTTAGTTCGGCGAAGCTAAGTTTAGCATCCACTCAAATACATGACACGGTTCCAGTGAGTTGCGTTCGTGTTTTGAAGGCCAATGATTAAAAAAGGGATTGCAAATAACAATTGAATGCGTTCCACTACACCACATAATCAGTGCCCGATAACGAACTTAATATGGAATAGTATAAACTGTAATTTATAAAGGGACTATTTATATTTTAAAAACTTTGCCGACTGTATCTCAACATTACTCCATCTCTCAGGACCCCTTGGTAACTAAAGCCTTCGGAAATCTCGCGAGGCTGCGCGAGGGGATAAGTTGAGGGAACATGGCGACGTCTAATTTGCTAAAGGTAGGTGGCACTTCATTTTAATAATGATAGTATTTTGTGTAAGTAACGCTAATTCGTGATCGACTGTCTGCATTTTAAAACGCGGCTCTTTACAAAGACGGAGCGTTTGGGGGCAAGGTTAGAATAATACGTGTGTGCATATTAATAGAAAAGGGAGACAAAGCTATCTTTGGTGGTAAATATTATTGGCACTGGGTGGCTGATGTTCAAACTTACTTTCAGGATATGGGCCTTTTTAATTATACTAAAACAATAAAGATTTGTTATTTCTAAGTTTATTTTTATTTTTAGATATAATATACACCCTGACTGTTGTAAAATAACCAGCTAGCTGTGGTTGCCCGGATTTCTGTACGTGTTGTCAGTCTCACCAGGAATTCCGAGTTAAAATTAAAACAGTCGAAGCTTTGAGAGTGTTTTAAAGAGACACTGGATGTATCGGATACGACTGGGGAAGTTCTATTTTATTAAAGGAGATTTCAGCTTACATAGCCTGTGAGCTTGTAGCTGGGCTACACGATGTACGCCATGCAATACAGAAATCCTAATAAATCATTCCCTGCTCTCAAACATCATGAGGATACCGGTGAGTGTTGAAGTGTGTATCGGGTCTTGTCTAATTTGAGACAGTTCGTATGACCACATATTTTTATTCTATGTTATAGATGTCAGAGCTCCTTAGTTTAATATTAAAGACTGAGATGCGTGATGTCATCTTTCCACGAAATTGTGAAGAATACATCGTATGCCGGGAAATTATGTAATAAAAATAACATTACCCAGTAGATTGTCTGAATGTAAATCCCACTGTGACAGTCGTTGAGGCATTAATGTTCAGTGTTAAAAGCTGCACTAGGCGAGGTGTGGGCACTAGACAAGCATCATGAGAGCTCGCCCAAATCTCTGCCGTTTCTCCTGCATTATTTTCAGCCACAATCTGGATTAAAAGCGCATACTTAAATAACTGTCAGCTGCGATTGACAAGGTTTGTTGTCTGTTATCTTATCCTTTGCTCTACCTTATTTTGACTTATCTTCCTAACATTAAGAGGAGAATGCAGAGTTTTTGCCAAACTTGTTCAGAACTGCAGCTTTTTGGGGGAAAAAATAATATCTAATATATAATGTAGGTTCATGTTCCGCAGTGGCATGCCATATAATGTCTAATACAGAGTTGAATAAACCCTGGTCTTGATGACTCACCCACCCGCTGGTTTGTGTTCCAGTTGAGGTCTTTCTTACATAATTAAGTCCTTAATTGACCTAATGGGATTAGTTTGAACTCTTTAATTGTTTTCTGTTACTTATATTCTGGAAGTTGCCTATTGTGTATGGCTAAGTATGGATCCCCACAGGAATTAGTAAAGAGAGGAATCTTTGCAAACTATCTCTCTCCTTGCAGCTCCAGGTCAGTGATGTGCATTCCTTATTTTCCAGTGCCATTTTTTTAATGCATTCCAATTCAGGCCTAGTTAAAGCAGTTGCATAATGAAATCATACATTTATCATAGATGAAAGGTTTGGTATGGATTTAAAGTGTAATGCAAGCAAATTGACACTACATCTTGCCTGTCGATGTGCAGCTCAAGTGAAGAAATCTGGGTTTTAGAAGAAGTTCTCCAGGCTTCAAGATAATTGAAAACACAGATCTTAAACATGTTTAAAATAGCACACTGTGACCCATGTAGTTATTTTATTTTTTAAACAGAAAAGTTGTGAGGTGTGATTGCATGCATTACCCTAGTCATCCGTAAAAAGATTAAATGGTTTGTCAAGGTTGATTGGGTCAATCACTTTTTGTTTTAAAAAAAGGATGTAAGCACTTATTTTTATCTTTGATTCCTGAAGTGTCTCTTCTCATCATAATTTTTTCAGTTGCCTGTTAAATTCTCCCTCCGTGCCAAGTACTTAACATTCAGCTGTACCCTCACTCCCCATGTTTCAGTTTGCTCTTCTAAATTGTATCCATTTGGAAAGCTGCCATTTCATCCCAGAGATACAGCTATAAAAATGCCTTTAGTTCCAGTTCTCCCTGAAATCATTTCTGTCCAGGTCACCTGTTGTGTATATCAGTGGAGAGAGTGCAGGGAACACTGAGATTTCTGAATACTGAAAGTTTCCTCCTTTTCCTCCTTTTCCGGTGTGACTTGATTTTGAAGATGCAGTGTTAAGTGCCTCATTTCTGAAATTGGCTGAGTACAATGAGGATAAGGTTTAAGCATAATGCATTACAGAATTAAGCTGAGATTAAAATGGAAATGCAACTTTTTAAAAACTTTTAACAATGTATTATACAGCATAGAATTGTTGTGGGGGTGCATTCATGGTAATTCTCAGTGTGGTACTGCAAATCATCATTTATTCCTCAAAGGCCTGTACCATAAGTACTGTACATATCCCTAAAGGGGAAGATGAACACCATTATTCAGACCAGTTGTCAGATCTACAACTAAATCACCCTTCTTAAATCAATCCATAGTATGTGCTGATACCCTAATCACTGTGCTGTTCAGTGCACGTGATAATTTTGTTTTTATCTGCAGGCCTGTGAGTAGTAAGTTACATAAACACCCAACTTTAATACCAAGCGAGCAGAAGGGATTATTTGAAGTTGACTACTGATGGTAATTACTTCAACCGAGTAGAGGCTGTAAATTCCAGACTTCAAAAGAGACAAGGCAGTGATCCCTTTAGGTATTGATCTTAAAATAACCATGAACATTAAAATTATAACCTCAAAAGCAACACTCTAGAAGAATGTTTGCAGTGTCTTATCGGATGCACAGCTTTGCTCCAGAGAGACAGTCAGTCGGAAAAGAGAGATTTTACGAGAGCCTGTTTTGCTTTACATGTGAGAAGAGAGGCAGGAGACTGGAGAGCATTGTGCAGCCAAAACATCCTCAAACAGTGGAGTGTACAAATATTTGAATATGGTCATTTGGTGAATTTGAAAATAATTTACAAAAGATGTTCAGTACCCATAGACTGCAGCATGTGGCTTTTGATTCTTTTTAAATGAAGCGAGATGGTATTTTCCCAGGTCCTTTCCTTCAAAAAAGTGGTATCGAACTGAATAAGCAGGCATTGGTATCTGCAAAGAAAACTGAAGTGACAGTGAACCGTAAAATTTGGATTGGCTGAAATGCCTAGACTAAGTAAAGACAATTAAGGTCATTTTCATATAGTTTCCGGGTCAAACAATGAGATATTGGCATTGTTCAGGCACTGTTTGTTTAAATTGAATAAAAAGCTTCAGAATTACCTCTCTGCTAATCTTCACTCCTTCTCATTTCATTCTCTGTCTTTTAATTGTCTGCTCAGAACAAAGGCTCCCTCCAGTTTGAGGACAAATGGGATTTGATGCGCCCCATTGTTCTTAAGCTACTACGCCAGGAATCTGTCACAAAACAGCAATGGTTCGATTTGTTTTCGTAAGTAGTCACCTCTTTATCTCTTCTGTTAGAGCTAGAACGTAACACGTCATTGTTTGACGTGCTATCTAGGATGCCAGTGGGAAGAATTTAAACCTTTGAAGGTTGTCAAAATATCTGAAAGTGAAAAGATGGATCAAATCACAAATATTAAGATTTTCAAAGCAGGGGTGTTTGACCATTGAGCATTAATATTTCAGAAATGTCAGCTCGACTTACCTTTTTGTTTCCAATGCTTCTGTAGAGACGTTCACGCAGTTTGCCTCTGGGATGATAAAGGTCCAGCAAAGATCCACCAGGCTTTGAAAGAAGATATCTTAGACTTTATCAAGCAAGCCCAGGCGGTAAGTTGTCCTGCCTTTCCAAAGATCGTAATGGCATGTGGGGTTAGATTTTTTTCCGTAAATTCAGCTATTCACTGCTGTGAGTTGAAACAAAATATTTAGATTCTGTTTCAGTGGAGGGTTTGAATCAATCAGCTTCTACTGCTCATGTCTTGAGCCGAGCAAAGTGATCTTCTATCTTTCCTGCCCACGCAGAGAGTGTTGAGCCACCAAGATGACACCGCACTGCTCAAGGCCTACATCGTGGAGTGGCGCAAGTTCTTCACTCAGTGTGACATTCTCCCTAAGCCGTTCTGCCAGCTGGAGATCACGCTGATGGGAAAACAGGGCAGCAACAAGAAATCCAACGTGGAAGACAGCATTGTGAGAAAGGTAAGGGAGGTGGCCTGGCCTTTTGTTTTCTTTCCATGATCTCCCACAGCTGGAGGGCTTCAATGAATGGTAGGGAGCAGAGGTGGGCAGGCCCTCGGTCCTCTCTCTCAACTGCAGTGCTTGTCCTAGACCTCCCTGCGCCCGAAGCCTACCTAATTATGTGGCCAATACTGACATCATATTCTAATTCTTAAAGAATAATATGTAATTCATATCCACAGTACAGTATAAGTACAGTCTTTGGCATTTTCTTTGTTTGTTTCTTTCCCTCCTCTTTAACTCGATCCTGCTTTTTTTTCCCCCTTCCCCTCAGCTCATGCTGGACACGTGGAATGAATCCATCTTCTCCAACATCAAGAACCGGCTGCAGGACAGCGCCATGAAGCTGGTGCACGCAGAGAGGCTGGGAGAGGCCTTTGACTCGCAGCTGGTCATCGGCGTCAGGGAGTCCTACGGTGAGGTGGAGAGGAGGGCGAACTGCTCGGTGAAGAAGGTCTTCTTCTGTTAATTGCTGCCAAAAGTAATAGGTGCACTGACCAGGCCATGTTGTGATGTGTACATTGCAAGAGTTTAAGAGTGTTTTCTGGCTACTTCTTCTTAAAAAAAAAAAAAGGTCTTATTCAGATTTTGACTTTGAAGTTTCCCTCGACCAGTTTTTACATATCTAGCAAAGCGTTGCATGATTCTGTGAGATGACAACCTGTTTTTTCTGTTTCGCTGACCCAGGCAATGTAGATTTATTTCTGGCACCCCTTTTTTAATAATTGCTATTTAGCTGTTCATGAACTCAAGGTTGCAATGCTTTTGTCCTTTTCCCCAGTGAATTTGTGTTCCAACCCAGAAGACAAACTCCAGATCTACAGAGATAATTTTGAAAAAGCCTACCTGGATTCCACTGAGCGGTTTTACCGCACCCAGGCACCTTCCTATCTGCAGCAGAATGGTGTACAAAATTATATGAAATATGTAAGTTGACCTTAAGTAACGCCTTTCTGTTTGTCACAACTCAAGTGGGGTACTGAAGAGGGAAATGACGTTTTAACTCATGTTCTGGGATTCCTGAGTGGCTCAAACAAGAGAGGATCTCGCTCATAAGTGCTGACCTTGCAACTGCCTCTATAAGGTCAGGTCAGTTTTGCAAGTCGGAGTTTGGCTCTTATAACTAGTTTGTAGCATTAGTCCCCTAACTGGCTCGGCACTGCCATGAGCGTATTTGGGAATAACCAGTTTCCCGGGGAACTGTGACTCATGGGATTTCCCAGCATGGTGACATCAGTGAGGGACGCACCAGTCCTCTAGTCAGTGCGGAACCTACTGTATGTCCCTGCAGAGCTCGGCTCTGGGACAATGGCTTGGGGGGGGCCGGGGGTCTGAAGACCCTGGCCACACTTCTCGATCCTTCCTGTGTGATTGCCGCCAAAAAACAATAGACGATCCCAAAACGGGTGGGTGTATAATAACAATAAGAGTCAATTGCAAATCGAAAGTAAAGCGTGAGAATGCTCCCACAGCTCTCTTACTGATTCTCATCGGTATTATCAAACAGGCAGACGCTAAATTAAGGGAAGAGGAGAAACGTGCCCTTCGTTATTTAGAGACGAGGCGTGAATGTAACTCTGTGCAGGCAGTAAGTATTGTTGCTTTCATGGGTTTTGCGTGTCTAAAGAAAATCTGAACTGTATTTAGTGTGATAAAGTTCATTGATAGAGATAAATACTGTAATATTTAGTCACCCTTAAGGAATTCTAATTAACATTACAAAGCTATGCATTTTTAACAGATATTTAGCCTTTTCAATTTGCACCTGTATAGTTATATAAAGATTATGCAAGGTGACTCCTATCACTCCTTTTAAGGTATAGTGTATAATGTTCTTTTTTATTCCTTCATAAATCCTAATTCAGTATTTATTTTGTCAAGTTATTTTTCTTTCACAAAAGTTTTGCATCAGAATAAAAGTGATAAAAATGGAAGGAAGGATTAAATTTTTATTTCTTGTTTTGCAGCTTATGGAATGTTGTGTGAATGCTCTGGTAACGTCTTTTAAAGAGACAATCTTAGCAGAATGTCAAGACATGATTAAACAAAATGAAACTGAGAGTGAGTACAGAACATAGGGTACTAACTGCTTTCTGTGCCGTTTTCTAATGTAATTACTGTGTTAATACTTTTTTAAACTTTCCTCCCTGCATAAGGAGTAATTACTTACTGAAATTGGTTTTCAAGGATTCTAATATTTTACAAGTGTCATTTAAAAAAAAATCTGTTATTTTATACTTAAGTGTGCTCAGTGTTTAACATGAAGAAGGCTAATGTAACTTCAGATCTATCTGAAAGTAAGAATTATTAACAAAGCTATCAGAATAAATATACTTGTATGTTTTTAAATGCTCACAAACCTATTATTCTCATGTGCATTCATATACAGAAAGTAAAACATCTACAGCAATCACCTTTCCAATGTGCATGTTTTGCTCAGCCTGAACGGTTTGTTCCCTCTTTCACTAGAACTTCATCTCATGTTTTCACTGATGGACAAGGTTCCTAATGGCATTGAGCCCATGCTGAAAGATTTAGAGGAGCACATAATTCATGCTGGTTTAGCAGACATGGTAGCTGCCGCAGAAACTATAACTACTGTAAGTAAGATAATTGCTGTAAACCGCATTTTCCCTAGATGTTTAAAACCTCAGTCATATACAATATACATATAAATCGTGTATATATATATAAAAGTAACTTAGAGCAGTCACTATTAAGAATTTTATCCTATGCAGAAAAATAGTTTATTTTCTTATAAATCTCCAGTTGGTCCTCTGCATTGCAGTCAGAAAGGTAGATTGGGACGGTACCAATAGATGCAGAAATTAAGGATTCTGGAGTGTGAGTTCTAGGCATTTCTTCACCAGGGGTGTAAAGGTTGTTCTGAAAGAGACAGACGATTGCAGTGGACTGCAGAATGTTAGCCATTTGGAATATTTGCATGACATCTGACAAATTGTAGTGTTTTACAAAGCAGAGGCAAGGGCCTTTGGTGTGCAAGGGCTTAAGGTTAGCATGATGTGCCATGCTTGTGCTAATAATAAATGTGATATGCTGCAGAGGAGGAATGCTTTATTGACATTCTTTTTCCTTTTCTGTGTTTGCAAAGGATTCTGAGAAATATGTAGAGCAGCTCCTTACTTTATTTAATCGATTCAGTAAATTAGTTAAAGAGGCTTTTCAAGATGATCCTCGATTTCTGACTGCCAGAGACAAAGTAAGTATTTATTTCCTATTCTCTGTGAATGTTGACAATTTCCATGTTGCCTTTTCTAAGAAATTCGGTATCGGACAATGTCTACAATTTGTTCATGAAATTTTCTGTTTATTTTAGAAGGCTGTGTTTTACATACTAATTCTCAAACTTTCTTGTTGCATGCAATATCATTTTAGAAAAAGTTGAAATCCACTTATGATAGCATCATTAATTCTGTGACTGAGGACTTTTTTGCATACAGCACTGATGAAAATCAAAACTGAAGCCTACTGTTGTCAGGCCAATTACAAATCCTTGTATTTTTTTAGGCATATAAAGCTGTAGTAAATGATGCAACGATATTTAAACTTGAACTCCCACTGAAGCAGAAAGGGTAAGATTCCTAATTTGATTTATGTAGTTGTAGATATGTGGAAGTCCTTAAATTGGTATTTTAATCACATAAATCTAGTAGAATCTTAAAAAACCTGAGAACAAGTACAGGGAGAACAGGTTAGAACTGATTTTGTATGGATCTTTACATCTCATTTGGACATTTGCAAATGTGTAATATTACACATTTTTCAGCTGTTTTTTGTTTCTTCAAAAATGCATATGAATTAATAAGGGTATTTAATGATAATTCCTGCAGAAGTCCTTTGAGAAATCCTTTACAAAGAAAATTAAATGAATTTAATTACTGACCGGCAGTTTCTTAGGGTGTTGAAGAACTGATCTTTAAAATGCCTTCCGAAAGGCTTGTGATGAATGTTCCAATTTCTGTCAAGGTTGTTCATAACCCTGTACAATTTTACTACACTGGCATACGACAGTGAGCTACTGTATGGAGTAGGAGCCTCAGACATGTGAAAAAATACTCTATTCCTCAACAAGCAACATACCCATTAGGCATGATGGTTCAAACTATTTGTTTCATTGCTGCTACAGTAGAAATGTGCTACTTGGGTTATAATGGAGTGATGGCTGACGCACTGTGTGTTTTCTTCCAATGTAGAGTGGGCCTGAAAACCCAGCCCGAGTCCAAGTGTCCTGAGCTGCTTGCTAACTACTGTGACATGCTCTTAAGAAAAACACCACTAAGTAAAAAACTTACGTCAGAAGAAATAGAGGCCAAATTAAAAGAAGTGGTATGTATGCATCCTTTCATGGTTGTGAGAGTGCCTAATAAGTAGTTCTCTAAATTTATTTTCAGTGTATTTTACAATGTAAAAGGGCACCTAACACCATTAAATCCTATATTTTATCTTATATTAACCCCTAGGCATGACTTTTTTGATTGTGTCAGGCAGGTAGCACTGAAAAACAGTCATGTAAGCAATGTTCTGAACCATTATGAAGTTTAAAGTAGTCATCAGTAAAAGAGTAAATCTCCGTAGTGTTCCAACTATTGTGTTCTTTATATTTCTTTGCACCAGTTCATTTATGTAATTTCCATGTCGTTTGTAGTAAGGATCCAAAGCCATGTGTGTGCACTCCTCTTTTTTTGGAAAAACGTTTCTTATTGAAGCTTAGAGGTTGTGATTTTTTTTTCTTGACTCTCTCTCTCTCTCTCTCTCTCTCAGTTACTGGTGCTGAAATATGTACAAAATAAAGATGTCTTCATGAGGTATCACAAGGCCCATTTGACACGTCGTTTGATCCTGGATATTTCAGCTGACAGTGAGATAGAAGAAAACATGGTGGAGTGGCTCAGGGTGAGGAACATTAGATAAGCTTCTTCATTCTTCCTTTTAATTTTGCTCCTGTGTACCCATTATAGTCCACAGCTGTAAGATATACATTGTGCGTTGTAATAATGGTATATGATATTAATGCACCTGTGTATAAATGTAATTATGCAGTAAGTGCAATAACTCTTTAGAGACAGTATCTTACAAAGTGTAAGAGGTGGTAGCACAACTGTACTGTACAGTAACAGTCAAATACAGAAAATGTAATAGTAATGTACCAGTTCAGCAGGTTTACTCAAAGATTACTGCTAATGAGTCTCCAAACTGAAATATTTTTAAGTATTGTTTAAAAAAAACATTTGCAAAAGATAAATCTGCTGAATTCATTGTTGTTGTTTTTTTATTTCTACTGCTTGAAAAGCTCTGAATGACTTACTGGTAAAAAGTGCATGTTATGTTGACAATTGCAAACCCTGGTCTTGTCTTTTTTCATTTCAAATGTGGCTCATCATTGTGTTGTACACCCATCTGCTGTTCTCTCTGGACAGGAAGTGGGCATGCCTGCAGATTATGTGAACAAGTTGGCCAGGATGTTTCAGGACATCAAAGTTTCTGAAGATCTAAACCAGGCTTTCAAAGAAATGCATAAACACAACAAGCTGGCCTTGCCAGGTAACGTTTTGCTGTACAGTTCTCCAATTTTGTAGCATCATGTAATAATAAACAAGCACAATGCTAAATTTGTCAGATATTTTTAAATATACAGTTTGTTATGGTTCAATAGAGGAAAGCATAGTGACTTGTTATTTTCAGGAAGTGCAATGCTGATCTGTCACAATCTGTTTTGCTGTGGTGCAGCTGACTCCGTGAACATTAAAATCCTGAACGCGGGTGCCTGGTCGCGGAGTTCAGAGAAGGTTTTTGTGTCGCTGCCCACCGAACTTGAGGACCTCATCCCAGAAGTGGAAGAGTTCTACAAGAAGAACCACAGTGGCAGGAAATTGCACTGGCATCACCTCATGTCGAACGGAATTGTGAGTAATGCACCTCCTGTTTGCTGGCCTCTCGGAGCTGGGACTTCACAATAATAATAGCGCTTTTCTGGACACTCCACTCAAAGCGCTTTACAGGTAATGGGGACTCCCCTCCACCACCACCAATGTGCAGCATCCACCTG